ACTCTTTAAACTTTATGTGATTTTTTTTTTTTACTCTTTTCAGGACCATAATTATGGATATTTCTTCTGTAGTTTTCTTTAATCTATCATAGTAAAAGAGCTTATGGTGATAATGTGAACAGTTCTCTTATAAATGATTTTGTTGGTGATAGTAAAATCATTTATTCTGAGCTCTGTTGATGACAAATAATAAATTTGTCTCCTGTGGTTTATTGGCTTTCTCACATCCCACAGTGATTGAATTCTAGAGATAGTAGTCAGCCTCGGACATAGTCACTCCCCTAGTAGCCTCTGTCTACACAGTGCTAGGCCTACCCCTTCCTCTGTGTTTCCTGATGAGGGCATCTCTGAGGATAGTGGGCGGGAGGATTACTCTTTGAAGAATTTTACTTGGGGGCCAGAAATTTAAACTCTCACCGTGGGACACATTCAGCCTGACCCAGCACTCTTAAACCTTTCATCCTGTATTTCTCCATTCTCATTTGTCTTTGCATGTGGGGGCCAAACCGTGATGCAAGAGCCAACCAGCAGATCAAAGAATCCACCAAATCTCTTCTGAATACCAACAGTGGAATGGCTTCAGGCAGCCTTTTGATCTTCCACTTAGCATTCTTGGTGCCACGTATAGCTCCGCCCACTTGCTGGTACTTGGGGGGCTGCCTCTGGGTCCTCCTCACAGACTGCTCCCCCCTCAGCTCCCAGGGCTAAGCTGGTTTTGGTTCCAGCCAGAGAGATGCCTCTCATTTTCTATCTCCACTCACCTGGCTCTGAACCCTTCTCCTCCTTCAGTAGCACCCATCTTGTGTGATTTCCTCTGTGGTCTTGAGCCAGGAGAACCCTGATGCAGCGCCATTGTTGAGGATGTGTTCCATTTCTGCTTCAGGCCTAGGACAGTCACCCCAAAGCATTAATCCCATTTCCCGTGTTGGAGCTCACCTAGGAGTTGGGAACACTGCCTGGCCGACACCAGGGAAGTGATACAACTCATATTAACAAAGAGCAAAAGGCTTTCTTTACTCTACAGGTATAATTGAAGCCTAAAATGATAGGACCGTAAGCATGCTTGCCTTTTTTCTGACCTATTTTCCTCTTGGCTGCTTCTATATGCTAGAATGCACCAACTTCTTACTTAAAGAAAATTCAGCATAAATAAGAGATGGTGATTACTTAGATTAAAAATAATAATTTGTTGCAAGATCCCTCTAAGTATTTGATGCATTTCAAATATTATGTGCCATAAAATTCAGTTCACACATTACCTGTTGTGTAAAAACAAAATACCTTTGGGTGGCCATGGATCAATTGTGAAAGACAAAATCTCTTTTCCCAGCAGGCATAAGCAAGGTGGGATGTGCGGTTTAAAGCAGGGAGGGAGCCTGCTCAACTTCTACCCTAACTCTGAGCTTAAACTTTCCAACATAGATTGTTTGAGAGCTCTTTATTCCAACATTCAGTTAATAACTTTTTTTCCATTTTATCATTCAGTTCTGACCACCCCCTGTTTGGAGTTTGTGCCTTGAGGCTTGCCAGGGCTTGCAATACTTACGTTAAACTAAATTTTAAGAGTAAAGGTGCTCCTGCTGCTAATGTTGTCAGATCAGAGGAGAGCAAAATGAAGGAACTGGCAGCTGAAACTTTAATGGTAGGAAACGACTCAGATATTGAAAAAAAATCACAGTTCATGTGTGTGACAAAGAAGACATGTTCCTCTCCATGTATAACATTTGCATTTGATTTCATTAGATGCTTATATTTTCTAGCAAAAATTGTCTAACCCAAGTTAACATCAAAAAGGGTACATTGACATCACATACCCCAACTTGTGGGGGTGCTTTTACACACCTTGTTGGCTGGATCGAGCTCTGGGGTTTGGTCCCTCTTTCTGTCTACAAGCAGCTCTGTCCTTCTAGGACTTAGAGAAATTACAAGTACTGTGTCCTCATTTTGAAGCTGCTTGGTAAACCTTTCAAGGGCCCTTGTAATTATGTAGAGATCACCTCTGCCACAATGCCCTTGGTAAGCAAAGTGGGGCTCTCACAACAGTCTTAATTTATAGAGGATGAAATGTCCCAACTGAAGCAAACACAGTCACTGTTTTTCTTTCATCCGTTTAGAAATCCAATAGGGATAGACAGATGAGGTTAAGAACTGAGATGGCCCAGATTTACTCTGTAACATCAGAGGACTCTGGAACATAGACTCTTCATAGCTTCTCTGAAATAGGCTAGGGGGAGGTGGGTTTGGGAGAGCCTTTGGTACCCTTTCAAGCCTGTATGTGAGATCTATCTTTATGTTTCTGTAACTTCTTACCATACGTTCTGCATAAAGTTGTCATTTAGTAAGTTCTGGTTTCCAGGTAACTCAACTAGTTAATATGACATCTGATTAGAAAAACAGATTTTTTTTTAAGTTACAAAAGAAGTCACTATATGATGAAGTTACAAAGTAGGAGAGGACTGACATTTGCTGTTGAGACAGTGTGCTTTAGCTATAACTATATAAAAATAAGTGGACATTGTTTCATGGATCATATCATGCCCTGATAATCTGGGTAATATTAGGATTCTATGGTGTGTAAAACATGACACTGATCCGCATTAGAATTTTCTCTTTAATTATGTAAAAAATTATTTTCATAATAATCTTTTATTTGGAAACACAAGACGGTCTGTTTCTACACTGGATTTCAAAAGGTTTTCCCTTGAGTCTTATTGTTCTTCCACACCCCTCCCGCATGGCCTGGAAGAACAATATGGTACCTTGGCTGTCCACAGCTGGCTCAACCTCAGGTCTGACCAGATCTGTCCACCTCCATTTCTATCTAAGCAACCGTCCTCTTTCACTCAGATTTCATAACAACCTCCCAGCTGGCCTCTCTGTTGTCTGCCCTCCTTCCCCTACAGTCTAAGCTCAAAAGAGAAACCAGAGTGAACTTGTCAAGGCACAAGTCAGGTCAAGTCACTCCCATGCTCAAAATCCTCCAGTGGATTCTTAACTTTATCAGAGTAAAAATCAGTTTTTACAGTTATCTTCCAGACCCTACACCACTGGAATACTCCCAAATTTTTCTTTAACTTCTTTGACTTTATCTCATCCTGCTCTTATTTATGCCTTCACTACTGGTGAGCACTTGGGTAATTTTATTTTTTGCTGTAGATCTTATCATCATCTGACATTGTATATATTTTGCATATTTGTGTGTTATCTGTCTTTCCCCCACATCCAACCTGTAATGTAAATTTTCTGAGATCAGAGATTTTCATCTTTTTGTTCACTGCTGTATCTTCAGCACCTAGTCCAGGACCTGGCACCAAGTAGTATCTCAATAAATATCTGTTAAATATATTCAAGGCCCAGGTTGATAGTGCTTTACCCTGAGTCACACAGGTAGTAAACATTGGAAGTAAGTGATTTAAAACCTAACAGACCTTTCAATTGCTTGGTGACGCTAAGGGTAGAGGTCAAACCTGGTGGACATGGTGGTGGAATCAAGAGGCTCTGGCCTTTCTGATGCCTCTCTAAGAGTAGAAGTGTTCTTTCTTTTGTACCTGAAAGCCCTTGCAGCATGTGACAGACATGTCCACACTTCTTCCTATTTAAGGTAAATTTTAGATAATTTCATTTTATTTTTATTTTTTAAAAGATTTTATTTATTTATCTGAGAGAGTGAGAGAGAGAGAGCAGGAACAGAGGGGAAGAGCAGAGGCAGTGGGAGAAGCAGACTTCCCACAGGGGAGGGAGCCCAACATGGGGCTCGATCCCAGGACCCCAGGACCATGATCCGAGCCGAAAGCAGATGCTTAACCAACTCCCCTAGATAATTTGATTTTATAGACCCACCTTCATTATTGCTCAGGTACCTTCCCCAGTGTGACACATTGCATTTCCTCAAGATGGCCACAACAATATCCCCCATCCCATATTCTCTTCATACAATGTGAAGTTGATGCTCTCCCATCAGTAGGTGAATCGATGTTCGTTAGCCTTGACTATGAACAGGTATTTTATCACAGTAGAAGGGATGCTATGTGACTTCCAAGGCTGGACTCTGAAAGTGGATATAGTTTCCACCTGACTTTTCTTTGGCATATTTGCCTTTGGAGCACTGAGCTGCCACATGAGAAAGCTGAGGCTGCCATGCTGTGAGGAAGCCCAAGCCATATGGGTAGCCACATGTAATGTTCTAGCAAACAGCCCAGTTAAGTTCCCAGCTAATAGTATTGACTATCAGATATATGAGGTAAGACACCTACAGATGATTCCTGGCCCCCTCACCATTGAGTTACCCCCAAGCTTCTGAGCCTTCCCAGAAGAGGCTCAGTCATCATGGTATAGAGAAAAGCCATCCTGTTGTACCCTGTCCTAATTCCTGACCTGCAAAAAGTGTGACAGATAATAAAATGATTGTTGTTTTAAACAATCTTTTCTGGACCTCTATATTTTGCAGTGATTTGTTATACTAGGGTAGCTCTGTGTCTCTTGGGGCAGCTGTCTGCTTGTTGAGAATCAGTCTCAGCATCCATCACTTCTAAGGAAAAGCCTTTATTTGTGAGGAAGAAAGTTTTTAGAAAGCAGCAAAGTATGAGCAATTTTCAATTATTGATTGTAACAGGAAAGCAAAGCATGAGCATTTGAAGTCCATAGCTGTCCTAAAAATCTTCTCTCTTTAATTGCAACCATGTCCGTTAACAAAATTCATACCAAAGCTCCTGATCGTCTGAATCTTCAATTCATTTATCAGATTTTCTCCTTATCCATTTGGTGGTAGAGATGCAGACAAGTAATAAATTGGCCAAAAGGCAGATGGTAGAAGAAAATAACGAGAAGCAACCTGCAGAATTCACTCACTGAGTATCATTCCTGAATAATAGAGGTATAGCTCTACACACAGAGGTATTCTCAGCTCAGATGACAGACTGTGGATCTCTAATAATGTCTTAAAGGATTCTTTGAAAAATTCATTCTTTAAAATACTGTTGTTTTTTTTTTTGTAGTCTAGAATGACCACCCTGCCCCCACTGCCCATGACACGCCCAAAGCTTACCTCTTTAGCCAGACAGAAGCTGCCATGTTCCCCCGGCACAATTCCAAGGTACGTGACCCTAGTTTTCATTTCTTTTCCTACAGAATGAATTTCTTGCAGTAAGAAATGTCAATAGCACATCTCAGAAAACAAAATTGTTCAAAGACAAGAGTATATTGTTATATTCAGAATATTCAAATTTGCTGTTTCCGAAGGATCAATGAACCTCATTCAGATATAAAGAATTTATTTATTTAGCAAGCTAGTACTCATTTGATTTTTTTATTACCTATTCTAATTATATCATGGTCCTGTAAAACTTTGGAGATATATTTCCTTTTAAAAACATTAGTGGAGAATTGAAAGCAGAGGCTTTAGGAGTGAAAGGTGTACAGCTTCTAATCTGCAAGGTCTAGAGTGCTAATTTCTGTTTGGAGGAAGGCGGACACAGTCTCACTACTAGGGTAAGTTGGCAGGTCAGGTTTAGGTACTGAAATGATCCTGGGGCTAAAAATGCATCATCACTCTGCTGCCACACTAAACAGCTGCCGAGGTCCTGGAGTTGCAGCCCAGAAACTGTAGAAGAGAACCATGTATTTTGTCATAAGTATTAATGAGGATTGTTTTACTTAGAAATGGCTATTTATGGTTTTATTGAGTTATAGTGATGCATATATTATTTATTGATATAAATAAATTTCCATATGTAGGTTTATTTTCTTTATATGCAAAATTTCCACTTCAGAAAAGGCATAATGATCAAAGTATTATGAGACTATTTTGTTTTGAGAAGGATCATACTTTATTCTTAGTATTTCTGGGAAAGACCAAAGTCCCTGGACCAAAATAAATGAATACAGTTAAAACAACATGGAAGTTCCCTTATAACAGCAAATCAAAGTTTCTTCTCAGAAAATTTGAAAAACAGATTTTTTAATACATGCATAATTCAAGATATACATATATCCTTATTTTCAATTTTACTTTTGAATAATGTGGAATATTTACAAAGTCTGAAAAACTTGTTCTTTCTGCCTTTTATGACGCTTGAGATTCCATTTTCTTTTCAACACCAGCAAAAATGCAGCCCAGTGTCACATCCCTAAAATAAGATGGATTTTAAAGAACACTATTTCTTGTATTCGTTTTATGGAAAAAAAAAACCCACTTTTTTCATAACCATTTAAGGCAAAGTTTTGTATCAAGATTTTCCATTAGTTTCTGGATAAAAACAGATGCTTGTTTAGTCCCATACTCCCACTGTTAGGAGATGTTAGGGGTGTGCTTGTTTTTTAGAGGTGCAAGGGAGGGTGGAGAATAAATACACTACCAGTGTAATAGATTTCTCAGTAAAGTCTTTTTCAAATCACTTTTTTAGTAATAACTTGAATTTTGTGTGTGACTAAAAAACCCATTCAAACAACATTTCGGAGCAAAATTTGGTACTGTTTGAAACAAATAAATTTTGTATGTTTGTATCAAGCAGATGTTCTTAGTTCAAAATCCTGGGCCAAACAGAATATGACTTCTGTATTGCAAAGTTATAATGTGAAGCAACACGAGCAAAATGGAAGAGCTCATAATCTCTGAGGAGAAAACTCCATTTTTCTTAAGAATGCTGATTATTTTAATATGTTGGTGTTTTATTTGTTTGCACACTGAGTTTAAGATTCTTCCTTATCTCTTAACATTCAAGATAATGAAAATTTGGAAATTGCTAATCAACAGCCTATCTCTATAGCCATTGTAGAACATTTATTATATACGGTATTACACCTTCAATATTTCTCTTCTCCTGGTGGCATTTTGTATGTTTGGGAGCTTTTCAACTTGATAAAGCAGTGCTTTATTATTTCTTTCCATTTCATTCAGGTCTCAATTGATCAAAGAAAAAGATGACATAGATCATTACCTGGAGGTGAATTTCAAAGGATTGTCAAAAGAGGAGGTTGCTGCGTAAGTATAACCTCTTAAAGGTACTTTAATATAAAGTTTGTTTCTTTTGTCTGGATTCTTTATTGAAATTTCAATTTTCCTGTGCAGTACACTTTTTCATTGGAACATGGCATTTAAAAATTAAAGCTCATATTAAATAGTGATAAGTCATGTCTATTGAACTTACACATAACAAAGTCTTTAATTTTATGGCTTTCAAAATTCTCATATTTACCAAGATATTATACTATCACGTTTGCAACATTTTAGTTAAGTCTGTGCCATTAATTGCTTATTGACTTCCTTCCATTTTAAGGTGTATTGCCTCCATGGGGGAGAAATTTTGCTTTTAGAGAAAGATCTTATCTTTTTTCCTAGTGATTTAAAACAAAAATTCTATACTAATGTATGTTCCTCCCCCCCCCAAAACCCACAAAAAAGAATGACTGGGATCATAGTTTATCGGTTGCTTTTTAAATAATTCTCCATTGTCTGGATTTATTTTATCAATGAACAATATAAACTTTGCCATTTTTTCAGTTAGAAACTGATTTGTGGTTTAAGTAAAAACTATAAAAATCTGTGTAAGTTAGTGAGAAATGAATAAAAACCTAAAATAATAGCTAAACAGATTTAATATTTCTTAGCTATAGAGTTGGTGACCATGTTATCATCAGATCTTTAGATGCAAGCGTTGAAAAACAGAAATATTATAAATACACATGCATCTTATGGAACTCATTAAATGATTCAATTAAAATATTTTATGCAATAAATGTTTTTAAAACATCCTCTCAATTAGTATTGTCTAGTGCTATGGGAGTCCACTGAAAGAGTTTTCTTAATATTTTTGGTATAGTTTTTCATAGAGTCTAAAATTCCAAGTCTCTTGATATGTTTCATTTTATTAGATATTATCTTTGTCAATTTGCATATAACATGGAAAAATGGAATAGTTCTTTCTGTCAGTACCTACTTTATTTTATAAAGTGACAAAATTTTACAATACCTGTAATCACTGTCTCCCTTGGAACACTATTGGCTGCCATGTGTAGTATCTGGGAGCTTTGGTTAAGTCCTGTTCTGATTGTTAATTTATTAACTTTCCATGGTAACCTGTTGGATAAAATTAAAGGTTAATATTGTTTGATAATACAATTATTTAAAAGAAAAATATATATAAGTGATATTTTCAATCTGATTTAAATATAATAATATCCAAATATCTATAATTGGCTTAACAATTAGGAATTAAATTTGGAATTAAATTTATGCTTCACATATTTTAACAAGCTAGAAATCCATATACAGCACTTAAAATCTGCTAAACTTTCAGTCAGCATTGAAGAAAACTTTGATCTAAAGCAATGCAAAATAGGCTTTGCTGATGAGTGTTCTCTTAATATTTTTTTTCTTTAAGGATATTACCAAATTGATTTTAAATCCATAATATGCTACAGAAAACAAGTAGCACCAGGTAATTCTCCAACCTTACGATTGCATTCTCCTTAAATTTTCCTGCAGCTGAGTAATTTTTTAGACCAAAGCTAGGATAGTGGATGCAAACCTTAATAGGAAGATAGCTTGTACTTAGCTCACTCTTCTGCTTTTGATTGATATATATTCTAGACTTTGCCACAGACAGACTAATTGAATAGCAGGTAAAGGAGAAAACTGATGAATAATTTCAGCACTCTTGGCAATACTTAGCAGGTGCCATGAGGAATTATGCATATGCTGTTAACCAAGGAATTGCTATGTAAAACTTTTTGTTAGTCAACTCTAAAAAGATAAATTGGTCAGCAAGCATTTAAGTGCCTACTTTATATCTAATACTAGGTTTTTCACAGTGGGAGAGACAGTGATATCTTATTGTAATATGTGGCCCCATCCTTGTCTCAATTTGAGACAATAAGATTTACGAACAGGAAACAAATATGGAATGAATGAGTGCTGATTGTATTGTGAAGTGTCGCCTCGGGGTCTAGAGGAAATCAGAGAAAACTAAGGTGGTAGGATGATACCTGCCATGGAAGACAGATTTTGAGTTTGGCTTTCTGTTTGGTGGCATTATAAAGTTACCAAACTAGTACTTCACAGATCCTCAGTATAAAAGCGGGAGAAATTGATGAATCAAATTTTCAACCAGACAAAATCAATATCTAAGATATATCTTTAAGTCTCTCTATATACTGCTTTATTCTTAAGATGATAATATATATATTATATATATATGAAGATATATATATATATATAAAGATGGTAAGATGGTTATATATATATTCATTATGTAATTGATACCCACTAGCTTTGCTATCCCATAATATGTATGTGCTGTCTGTCTAGTCCCAAAACCCCTCATCATCTAACCCAAAATACACCACTTTACTTATATGTAAACTCACAATCTGTGACTTTCCTTCTATCATAATTGGTGAAGAGTTCCTATTCTAATCTAAGGATGATGCTTGTGCTCTGGGTACCATCCCCTCTTACTTGTTCCAAGACTTTCTCCTGCATTTAAACATAACTTTTCTTCTACATGATCCTTTTCCCTTTCCACTGGACCAATCTCACTAGCATTCATATCTCCTTTAGTCCTTGACTTCTTATCTGTGCCCCCCATCACCCAGGTTCTCTCCCATTTTCCTCTACCCTTCATAGCAACCAGAAGCACTGTCTCAGTATTTGCACCCATTCTTGCATCGATGGACTCTAAATAGGTGTCCGGCCCCAGAAGTCACAGAAATCTCTCTGTTGAGAGTGACCAACATCCTCCATTTTTACCACATATACTGATCATGTTTCTGTTCTAATCTTACTTGATGTCTTCACAACATTTGATAGAGTTGAGCACTCTCTCATTGGTCACTCTGTACTTGTGGCTTCCAGGATGCCATGTTCTGTGGTTTTCTTCCAGACTCTGACTCTGCCACCTTAGTCTCCTTTCAGACGTCCTTCGAAAAGTTCTCTTTTCAAACTCTCAATGGTGGGTTGTCGGAGGACTGAGTCTTAGGGCTTCTATTCCAGGAGCACCCTCCCTGGATCCAGTCTTAAGTACTGCAATACCCTGATGACTCTCATTTATAAATCTAGCCTTGAGCTCTCCATTGAGCTCCCAATTTTTATATCCAACTGCCTCCTTTACATACCTACTTGGGTACTTAATAGACATTCTAAAATTAATCTGGCCACAAACTGGACTCTTGATTTACCCCTACTTTCCCTCAGCTCCCCTACCAAATAATTCCCCACAGTCTTTCCTCAGTTCAGTAAATGGCACCAAGGCAGCCTTGAGTTGCGCCCTGACTTTACTACCCTCCCCCATCTAATCCATCACTATGTCCTATCAGATATAACTCCTAAATATATCCTGTGTTCATCTACTTCTCTTCATTGCATAGCCACCATCATCCCTTGCCAAGATCACTTGAATAGTCTCCCAACTGCTCTTCTCATATCCCCTCTAATTCTGCCAAAATTCAGCCTCCAGAGTCATCTTTTGAAAAAAATTAGATCATGACACTCACCTGCTTAAAACCCTGTGAGAGCTTTCCATTGTTTTTATGATAAACTGCAAGGTTTATCATGGTTTGGACTTTACTGTGCATGATTTGGACTTCCCTGACCTCTCTGACTTTATCTCACATTTTCCCCACCACTCACTCCTCTCATTGTGGCCTTATTGCTGACACTTTCTTGTCCTGCAGGTGTCAGTCACCTTGAATGTGACCTCTTCAGTCTGTCATTCCCTGACCTCATAATCCAGTAGCCTTCACCCCACCTCTGCTTACTCTCAGCCAAATCATCTGGCTCTATTTCTGCTATAACTTGGCCCCCCTCTTGCACTGGGCATCTGTAAGTTGACTGTCTTCATCCCCAGCAGAATGGATCTGCACAGGAACAGAAGCGTGTGTCTGTGTGCCCTGGCACATGGTCAGAGATCAACACCTGCAAGTTAAATGAATGAATGAGTGAAATAAACGTCAGATTGACACCATGAAATAGGTTTCTTGCTGTGACTATTCTTTGGTTACAATATTTTCAAGTCCGTGTTGTAGGTGACTGGTTTGAATATTGAATCAAAGCAGCTTAAAGTGTATTATGTATGCAAGTAGGGGTATAAAATTTAAACGAGTAATTGAGCAGGACAAGCTAGAATAGTTGTTCCTGGAATGTCCAGATCCATTGATGGGGGATCATTTTACTTTGGAATGGGTAAAGTAGTTCAAAAGCAAAGGGCTTCTGGGTTTTTTATTACCTACATTTACAAAAGAATTTCAGTTTGCTTCATTACTTTTTAAGTGACTGGGTTATTTGAGTGCCTACTAGGTACATTTCCCCCCACATTTTGTACTCACGTAAAATATAATTGACACTGACAATTTGACTTTCTTAGATAAATCTTCAAATAGTTCATCGATAGTATTTGACTGACTTTTGACACCAAAAAACTTCTTGCTGTGGTTTTGTACTTTGTTTTTTATTCTGTCTTATATTGTCAGAATATGGTATTTTTTAAAAGGATTGAAAGTATCTCTTATTATCATATTGTAATTGCTTTGAGTAGCTAAGTAATGAAAGTATCATTTGTAGATTCAAATAAAAATTTCTGGGGGGCAGTTTTTATAGTTCAGCTATGTATATGAGGATACAAATAAACAAAATCATCAAGGGACAGAGAATGCTAATCTGCTCGGTATTATTTTCTGCTTCAGATATCACGTTCTATTACATGGAAGAATAGATTTAGCTCAAAACTGTGTGCATCTCTAAGATACTGCTTTCTTGCAGAGCACCTTTCGGCATCATCAGCTGAAGTGTGCGAAGCATCACTTTGTCAGCACAGTGGCAGTTAGAACTGTCAGCTACCATATTCATTGAGTTTGGGTTGTAAAGAAAAAGAGAGCCATTTATTTTCATGTCTTTTAAAGCCTTTCTCCCCTTCCTTATTTTGAACTGATTTATACTTAGGCAGTTAAAGCATTTTGCCAATGTAAGTTTTCATCTTGAGTTTATTT